CATTTGTATGTAAATTAGTATTAAATTATTAATATTTATCAACTCCATGATTCAAATTTATTGATTTCAATAAAATTCATTAATATTATGAATATTAGACAATGTATGGTATGTGTGTTCTGGTAACATTAAAATCTCATATACTGGCAATTTGGCACTTTTTGTCACTTTTCATGAAATTTCAGTTTTCCTAAACTCGATTTTAATAATTGTTTTAGAATGCTAATATAATGTATAATTTATTTATCGAATCAAAATTTAAAAAAGTTCAGTATTTGCCATTTTAGACTTCAAGCTCGCGACACATTAACCGCTTTTTTAAAAATTGAGACTGACATCTCTAAAATCTTCTAAAAAATCCAAATATCTAATAAAATCATATCATTAAAATTCCTCTCAATTTTAAATTTTTTTATAAATTGAGACTTAGATCTCTAATATCTTCTAAAAAATCCATATCTCACAAAAAAAACTAGAAGTTTCACATTCAATTTCCCCAAAAAAAAATTACAATTTTTCGCGTGACTTTTTCCCTCAATTTTTGAAAAAGTCAGCGCGAAAAATTTGATTCTTTTGATCTTCAAAATTAGTGGAATCGAATTTTGTAAAATTCGATGCCAAAAATTTTGAAGGGAAAAAAGAATCTTTTTATCTAACAGCAAGGCAGAAATTTGTAACGAAGTTTCAAATTTCTCAAGCTTGCATTCTGGGCACGTAAGTGCCCAGAATGCTAAAAGGCGCGTAGCGCCGTCACTGAAAATCAAATTTATTATAATAATTATTTTATTATAAATCGACCTATTATAACATACTGGTGCAATACGTTAAGGATGTCAATTTGGAAGAAAAGTGAGAAAATTCCTAAAATTCTAAAAATGAATTTTCCAAAAGTACTTTTTTTTCTCATTTTTTTGATTTTGAAAAAAATTTGGAGAGAAGAACTCTTCGTTTTTGAATTTTGTCACGATGGGTTTAAAGTATATTAGACACATGTATTGATATTACTATTTTTGTATATTTTGAGAGAAAATCCCTAAAAAGTGAGAAAATCTGAGACGGTTTGAGAAAATATATAAACTATTGAAAATTTGAATTAAACTTCTAATTTGGAAAAAAGAAATTTGGAAAGAAGAAAATTCAAAAATCGAGATTTAGACTCAGTATCAAATGGAGAACAAAATGTTTCTTCATATGAAGGAAAAAATTTTCTTGAGAAGAAATAGAGTTTTTAAAATTTTATTGTATGTAATGAAATAAACAAATATTAAAATTATTTTTTGATAACAAGAAAATTTCCAACAGAAAATATTTGAGACAAAGAAAAAAAGAAAATTGAAAAATATTACTCTCCTTTACATTTCATGAGATTTTCAATTTATTTTCATAAAATTGACAATTTTATACGTTTAGATGAAAATAATTATTGTTTTTTACAGCTATCAAATAGATTTTTGCTATTTTGATTAAAATTTGTTAATCAAATTAATAATTTTTTTCTAAATATCTTAAATATCTGGATCACTCACTGATACGATGAATTAAACAATAAAAATAATACAAACTCAACTAAGTTTCCTGTCTTTCAACCAAAAAATATTATGCAATTTAAATTAAATTGTTTATTCAAAGATAAAACAAAGATAAAGTAATTATAATTATCATATACTTTATGAATAACTCTCTAATTGGATAAGATTTTCGTACAAATATTTTTATTAATATCGATAAGAATATGTTTACCTACTATCACCATATGTCGATAAACGAGAGGAGAGTGATTTTTATCATCGAAACTTTTTAAAAGCTGTAAGCAGGAAGTAATAATCTTGTTTTTTCTGAGTTAGTTGTAGAACTATTGATGCCCGAGTTATCATTGTGATGCAGAAGGATATCAATGTACTGACTGAAGGATATGAATTGAATTGAATTTTATTGAATTTCAATTTGATCAAAATTTGTTGAAATGATATGAATGTGTCAACTTCTGTATCATTCTCCTTCACTCCTTCCTTATTCTTTCGAGAACGAAGCTAGCTCAGCTTTCGCTGAGCGAATTGACACTTTTCATGCCCTAAACGTACATACTCTCAAATTTATCGAAAAAATTAATACCACCTAAACTAGTATATTCTTATTTTAAATATGATATTATCCTTATATTCCACACTAAAATTCATTTAAATCAACTTTTAAAAAAGCTCGAATCCTGCGCGTCTCACTTTTTAAATTTTCCAAATGGAAAATTATATTCTCCTAAAGTGAAAACAATTTTCCAAATTGACTTCCTTAAATACGTCAATTTATTTCACCTCTAAATCCAAAAAACTTCAAATGAGATTACATTACAGTCTTGTGATTCAAATCTTACATATCAATGTTAAATTTGTAAATAATCAACGATGTAGCTCAATCTTAAATGAATCAATTCAAATTCTACCGATATTACTGCTTGTTTCAAGAATGAACGCAATTTAAATATGAAAATCCTATAGGTCTCGACTTTTCTATTGTTATTGTGTCATTTCATATCTATGAACTTAATTAATGTTCATAAATTAATTCAGAAATCTATGAAGCCATTGTTTTTCACATGTTTAACATACTATTTGTTACTTCTAACGAATTTAAATGATACTTTTAAGGTAATATGCAATTGCCTTATTATAAAAAATTATTGATGTCGGAACAAGACATTCATCCAAATAAATTCAGCGAATTGCGAAGTATCTATAAATACTACATTGATTCATATATTGCATTGTATCAGCTGAAAACGGACAAAGAAGAAGAATTAAAAGAAATATACAAAAAGATCAAAACAGACTTGATTGATTCAAAGAAATATCCACCAACAAGGATTATGGATGATATTTTAAATATAATCTCGTATAATAATCGCTATACAAAGTCATATTTATCTCTTGCCAAATTCATATCTGATGATTATCATGTGGAAGAGGCCTACGAAGCTGAACCTATTTCATACTTCCTGTTTTATAAAGAATATGGAATTAAATTAGACAAATCCGTTGATTTTGAAAAAATTAAATCAGAAAATTTAGATATTCATACAGAAAATACGATTTACAGAGCAATTATGTATAATGACTTAGAAAGATTCATATCAATCACAGAGATAGAAGAAATTGATGGAGATCAAGCACTTATAAGTAGTTTATATCCATATTGTGAAGAAGGATATTCATTACTTGAATTATGTTGTTACCATGGAGCAGTTGATTGTTTCAAATTCTTAAGAACGAAATTCAGCTCAGAAATAACAGAAACATGTCTTAGATTTTCATTTTTAGGTGGAAATCAAGAGATCATGAGTGAATGTTTGAAATATCAAACACCAGAAGAAGAATGCATGGAATATGCAATTATTTCACACAACATTGATTTTGTTACATTCTTGATGAATGAATATAATATAGAGATCGATTTATATGATTGTGGATGGTATTGTAATCTAGAATCATTTTTAGTATATTTCGATCAAACTAATGATATTGGCAAATGCTTTATTAATTCGGCTATGTTCAATATTACATCCCTTTGTGAATATTTCCTATCAAATGGTATAAATATCAATGAAAAAGATAAAAGTGGAGAAACCGCCCTTCATAAAGTAGTATCTAATAATAGTAAAGAAACGGCCGAACTTCTTATTTCACATGGTATAAATATCAATGAAAAAGATGGAAATGGAGAAACCGCTCTTCATATTGCAGTAAAATATAATTATAAAGAAATAGTCGAACTTCTTATTTCACAAGGTATAAATATTAATGAAAAAGATAACAAAGGAAAAACTGCTCTTCATTATGCAGCAGAATCTAATAGTAAAGAAACGGCCGAACTTCTTATTTCACATGGTATCAATATCAATGAAAAAGATAAAAATGGACAAAACGCTCTTCATTATGCAGCATGGAATAATAGTAAAGAAACGGCTGAACTTCTTATTTCACAAGGTATAAATATTAATGAAAAAGATAACAAAGGAAAAACTGCTCTTCATTATGCAGCAGAATCTAATAGTAAAGAAACGGCCGAACTTCTTATTTCACATGGTATCAATATCAATGAAAAAGATGGAAATGGACAAAACGCTCTTCATTATGCAGCAGAATCTAATAGTAAAGAAACGGCCGAACTTCTTATTTCACATGGTATCAATATCAATGAAAAAGATGGAAATGGACAAAACGCTCTTCATTATGCAGCAGAATCTAATAGTAAAGAAACGGCCGAACTTCTTATTTCACATGGTATCAATATCAATGAAAAAGATAAAATTGGGAAAACCGCTCTTGATATTGCAAAAAGTAATATAAAATCTCTTATTTCACATAGTGTAAATATTAATGAACAAAATATTGATCATTAAGGCTGCACTTACGCCCATCTGACTTTAATTCAAATTTTTAATAAGTGGCGTGAAGCACCATTGAAAATTAACCTTAAATATCTGAATTGAAGGCCCTGTCATAGGGGCGTAAGTGCACACTTAAGGCTTCACTAACATGACATAAATTATTCAAAAATTGATGAAAGCTAAAAGTGTTCAGTACAGTATAAAGGTTCATGTCCTACCGCTCAAACTTTCTAATTCTTTCAAAAATTAACTAAAATGCTAGCTTTTTGAAAAATAATCATATCGGTAGATAGGGGATAATATAGAGGTGCTTTATGAATAACTAAAACTTGATATTCAACGAGAAAAACACTTAACGAATCTCACTTTCTTGTCTGAATTCGTATTTTAACATACCAAGAATAAAAATGTAAATTCTTTATGTGAAAAACAATCTATTTTATAAATATTTACCAAGTTTTTTTTTTATGAAAGCATAACTGTTTCATTACATCAGATGTTGTCACTTTTTTAGAAAATGTCGGAGTTATCTTCGAAATCAAAATCCCTTCTCTGCTCACAGGAGGATTATACTTTTGTTGAAAATCTACCAGAAAACGGCATCAGCATTTGTAAAGTGATGGAAAATAAAAATACACACAGAAAAGTTGTTTTTAAATATAACGAATTACTTTCTAACGCGAGTTGTAACAATGATGGTGCCGCCATTAACGAATTTTACGAGTATTTAAGTGACGTATCTCAAAACATGCATCCAGCAATCAATCCAATCGAAGGATGGTGTGTTCCAAATGAAAAAAGAATACCAATCATAATTTCATCATATCAGCCCCGCGGATGTGTTAACTTGCATACTATTAGAACTCTCAATCCAACATTGAAATGGGTAACTGCAATCGGAATTTCATCTGCAATTAACTACTTGCATCGTAACCACGTTTATAATCTTAACTTAAAACCAAGTAACATACTTCTTAGTGACGATTTCCGTCCTAAATTATCTGATTACGGACTCACATCCAAATTACAAACTCATATGAGGCCAAATCAAAACATTGGAACCATAATTTATATGGCACCAGAGTTGCTTACCAAACAATTCTCCATTACACCCAAAGCTGATATCTATTCCTTTGGTTTAATTTTGTATTTAATTTTCGCAGAAAGATGTGCTTATAATGATAGTGATAATCCACTTACGCAGATCATGGCCTTCTCAAAGGGAGTAAGACCACACATTTTCGAAGGTGTTCCTCCGGTTGTTGTCGATCTTATTAAGCAAATGTGGCAAACTAACCCAGATTACAGACCAACGGCTGCAGCAGTATACGATATGCTTATTAATGGCGTCAGAGACCTTGTTGACAGCCTTGATTTCGACATTATTGTTCCATATCTTCGCGATATCTTCGATTACGAACACGGATGTGCCTTGGCATCATTTGGAGATGCAAGAGGCAAATTCTCTGCTATGAAAGTCCTTTATAACAACGTTGATACACCAAATATCCATAAAATGTGTTTGGAAGAGATCAAAATCATAGCAGATGTAGGAGAAAGAGATGCCCGTGCATTCATGGCCAAGATAACTGGCGACGGATACGAAGATTCCAAGGAACCAGAAAAAGATATCAAACTCGACCTCAAAAAGAAGAAACACAAACCGAAAGCAATGCGTCCTAAGGTCCCCAACAAGGAAATTGTGGAAGCAGCCAATTCCGGTGACAGAGAAAAAATCCGAAATCTTCTTAACGACGATGTCGATGTTAATTCCATTGATAAAGATGGCGATACTGCTCTTCATGTTGCCTGCAAGAAGAATGACCTTACTTTGGCCCAACTTCTCCTTAGTATTGAAAAAATTGATGTAAATTACCAGAACAAGAAAGGATATACACCTTTGCATGAAGCTTCCAGAATGGGTGCATCAGAAATAGTCAATGCTCTGCTTCTTGTCAAAGGAATCAAGCTGACTGTTCCAGATAAGATGGGATACTCTGCTTTGGACTGGGCGGCTAAGGATGAGATCAAAACTGCTTTAACTAAAGCAGGTGCTGAATCATGCAAAGCTGCAACTAATGCTCAAGACACAAAGAAATAATTTTTTAATTTTTTATTTTTGTTATTTTGATTTACAAAGCAATAAATATGATTGTATAATATTTCACATCAATGGTATGGATTTGTTTTTAACTTTTTTGTAAGAATTGAATCAAAAAAATTTTCAAAATTATTATATTGAGGTATTTTCTATCATACATCATCACTGGTAGAAAATAATGGAGTTTTAATCAGCCAATGCTCCTATATCCTTCATATATAAATTAGATGATTTAAAAATTTGTTCAATTTACCACTTTTGAAATTCTTTTTACTTTTTAATATGATAATAACAAATTGAATGATATATGAAAAATGTGATGAGGATTTGACTTTCGGTTTGTTTGCCAATAAATTTCAAAGATCTTTTTGACTTTCCATTTTCATGAGTTGTCATTTCTTAAAGCAGTATGACGATTTTATTTCAACTTATGAGAAGATATGTCATTTAAGATCAAGTGAATCTCAAGAAGAAATCCTGAACTTGATTACGAACACAAAAAATTAACTTTACTCTTTTGAGATCCTTATCAGATATGCATCAATTTGATGCAGTATCGCAGTTCAAATCTGATTTTTTAATGTAGATGTACTCTAACATCCTTTAAAAAATGCAAAATGATATTAATTAAGCTTTTCATTTCTGTATCATACACGAAACAAAATCGTTCATTATACTAAAATTTATCAAAGTTTGATTAATGAAAAAATAATATCTAAATTTTTACATTGAGTCGGCTATTGATATGGTTAATATTAAATCTTGTAAAAATTGGCATTATCCAGAATAATACCCACTAAAATACACAATTTTTTTAAAAAAAATTTAGTCTTGCTTTCGCATTTTACTTATGTTCGCACCCTTTACAAGCGTCATTGAAGCTCATATGTGATATAAATATCCAATAATTTTGATTGTTGTCAATCAAGCATACCCTATATTTCCAACTCTTGGAAAATTTTCATGACCCCCTACCCAGGGTCCTAAAATGGGTATTTTCCTCACACAGACACCGTGGTTTTTTGAGCCTGGAAATAAATAGCGCAGACAGTTTCTACATATAGAGACATGCTTATACTTAGAGTTTGACGGGAATCTAAAGTGATTTATTTCTGCATCGCGAAATCTAATGCAATCTCAAAATCATGAAGAAACTGCGAATCGGAGCGCAATTTTTTAATATGTTAATATATAAAGGTACCCCTACTACTGCAAATGCTTCAAATGAAAATCTAAGAAATCAGATTAATTTGATCACATTAGTATAGTATTGGTCAAACCAAAAACTCATATGTTGATATATAGCCTATAGATATTCATATTATCTACTTTTCATTGAATTACATAAGATTTAATAATCTCATAAATATTCTTTTTAATTTTCCGAATTCCGTGTGCATTTAGATTGCCTATACCTGTATATAATAATTCTAGAATGGTTTGGTTAGATATTAAGTTTTTTAGATTAATATTTTAACATTTTGATAAAACAAGCATTTGTTCCATTTTAGAATCGCCATTGAACTCTAGTTTGACTAACATGATGTTGTATGATCAAATAAATTCTAACTTCATGAGATAAATTTTGAAATTAGAAAATGCGATATCTGACTCAAATATTTATCTGAACACATTTAACATTCAATGATAAACTAAAGTACTATACAGCAGATTCGATTTGGCTTATATTTTATATAATCAACAAATAATCCTATAAAATTGTGCTATTCACGTTGCTCAAAGATGTATTGAACATTCCCTACTTGTGTATTGATAAAATTAGATATAGATTCTAATGTAAATCGATATTTTGAAAATTCATATATATTTTGTCTTGGTTTGGCATTTGATCGTGTTGAAACCGGAATTGCAATATATATCATCTAAATATATAACTATCAAAATATGAGCTATAGATTTTTAAATTATTCTCCTGAATATGAGTGACTAACATAATTATATTGAATTGAGTAGTAAGAATCATAAATATTAGAATCTGACGATAATTTATTATAACTTTATATAGGAACAAGATTATAAATGATGATGAAAATAAAGATTAAATTTAAATCTGAAAATTTGAAAACATTAAGTGTATATGATAGCATTACAAAATTAAATTTTATGTGGAAGAGGAAATAGAGGAATTAGAAGTATTATGAGAAAATAATAAGATATAAAAACAAGATTCTATTAAATGAGTTAATTTATAGAAAGGAATAACAGTGTGAATGTAGTAAATGAATGTTTTCATGATGTATTATTGAAATCTTAAGTTTTGTTAAGAAGATAATAAGGGAATCAAATTTTGTATTAGGAAGTTTGACCGACAAGAGTGTATTGTGCACTCTTGTCGGTCTGCATGTCTCATTCCGGGAGACATTGTCACTGCATGTCTCCCAGAATGAGACAATCTTCCGCAATTCAGAATGTGAATTGCAAAACTTTGACCGACAAGAGTGTATTTGCACTCTTGTCGGTCTGCATGTCTCATTCCGGGAGACATTGTCACTGCATGTCTCCCAGAATGAGACAATCTTCCGCATTCATAACTTGAATGCGGAAGTTTGACCGACAAGAGTGCACAATACACTCTTGTCGATCTAAATGTATCTTACAATCAAAGACACTTTCATACAATCTTTTCGAAGTTAAAAAAAAAATTTAATTATTTCTTTCTTTTGTTTATTAAATCGCCTTACTCACGTACTAATCTCTTTTAGAGACTCTATCGAGCTATCCCACATATAAACCTGTGACAATAATACATATTTACTCTCTTCATATTCTGATCTCATGACACATTATCGCAAAAACTATAATTATACAACACATCTCATAAAGTCTCATTTTAGCCCTATCTAAGCGTTCAAAACCTATTTTCCACACGTAATCTGATTCTTCTGGCTCCGCTGATTCGATTTCTGCTGTCAGATCGTGAAAATATGCATCACATAAAGAGATAAATGCAAATTGCACAACTTAATATTTTCCTTAAAATTTCTCTTCAGGTTCATACCTAAATAAGCTCTTTTTTTGAAAATTCAATTTTTTCCAAAAATGTATGAATTCAAAAGTTCAGATTATATCTAGTCATTTTCCAACATTAATTTTGTGTTTTAGTTTTTGAGATATTCATTTTATTATACGTATTATTCAGAAAATTAAAAGAATTTGTGAGGGGGAACGGAGGAGATAATAAATATGTAAAGATGGATGAATAGACAATTTGAAAAAAAAGCAATAATTTTGAGTTGTGTTTATTTATCTCTTTATGTGATGCATATTTTCACGATCTGACAGCAGAAATCGAATCAGCGGAGCCAGAAGAATCAGATTACGTGTGGAAAATAGGTTTTGAACGCTTAGATAGGGCTAAAATGAGACTTTATGAGATGTGTTGTATAATTATAGTTTTTGCGATAATGTGTCATGAGATCAGAATATGAAGAGAGTAAATATGTATTATTGTCACAGGTTTATATGTGGGAATAGCTCGATAGAGTCTCTAAAAGAGATTAGTACGTGAGTAAGGCGATTTAATAAACAAAAGAAAGAAATAATTAATTTTTTTTTTTAACTTCGAAAAGATTGTATGAAAGTGTCTTTGATGTAACATTTAGATCGACAAGAGTGTATTGTGCACTCTTGTCGGTCAAACTTCCGCATTCAAGTTATGAATGCGGAAGATTGTCTCATTCTGGGAGACATGCAGTGACAATGTCTCCCGGAATGAGACATGCAGACCGACAAGAGTGCATAATACACTCTTGTCGGTCAAAGTTTTGCAACCACATTCTGATTGCAAAAGATTGTGCTATTCCTGCATATTTTCTACGAGCCTGATTCATAAAATTGAATCCTTCTATCCAAATTAAATGCAATTTCGCTAATCTTTCATCTAAAATCACTAATCAGAAGCATATTGCAAGTTAACTTGAACCGGCATGTTCCTCCTATCCTGTCTTTCAGTTCTTTCTATCAGCCATGGTTCACAAGGAGGAGAGCTTTGCGCACAATCAGACATAAGATTGCGGCAGAGGAACCGGGAAGAGAGCAGCTTGAAGCGGTAAGATGTCCGAATGCTGTCTCCCGGGTGTATCTGTCAGGCAAAGTTCACAAGGAGGAGAGCTTTGCGCACAATCAAACAGAAGATTGCGGCAGAGGAACCGGGAAGAGAGCAGCTTGAAGCGGTAGGCTGTTTTCAAGTCTTTAGTTAACAAACTTTAACAAAAGACATCTAAAAAATTTGAAATAATTGCAAAATAATGCCGTCAGGTAATGCGCACCTAAGGGAGGTGTTTTGCGGGAGCTGGGGGTATCTTGGTGAGTACTCAGGAGGCCAAGAAGGGCACCCCAACCGACATTTTGCTGACGCATTGTGTAAGCAACCATTCTGATAACCGCTCAAACCGTCGGGACAAAATAATTTATGAAATTATAAGTCATCTTTCTAATACATATTTTTGGAAGGGCGTAAGATACGCCAACTTAAAATATTATTAAATATGAGAAAATCGCTCAACAAAAAAAACAATTCTTTCAAAAAGTTTAAAATTTATCTTTCTAATACATATTTTTGGAAGGGCGTAAGATACGCCAACTTAAATATATTATTAAATATGAGAAAATCACTCAACAAAAAAACAATTCTTTCAAAAAGTTTAAAATTTATCTTTCTAATACATATTTTTGGAAGGGCGTAAGATACGCCAACTTAAATATATTATTAAATATGAGAAAATCGTTCAACAAAAAAACAATTCTTTCAAAAAGTTTAAAAATTTATCTTTCTAATACATATTTTTGGAAGGGCGTAAGATACGCCAACTTAAATATATTATTAAATATGAGAAAATCGCTCAACAAAAAAACAATTCTTTCAAAAAGTTTAAAATTTATCTTTCTAATACATATTTTTGGAAGGGCGTAAGATACGCCAACTTAAATATATTATTAAATATGAGAAAATCACTCAACAAAAAAACAATTCTTTCAAA